GTGTGGCCAAACGCCACCCCCTCTCTCGGTCCGTAGACTTCTTGCCACCGGGACAGCCAATGCAGGAGGTGAGGGCGGCTTGCACTTGCCATAGAGCTCGGGCCAAGCCCGTCGGTGTCCGTAGGGATTGGCCGGGCCTCTCCCCAATGGCCGTAGCAAAAACGTCAGCATCAAGCAGACTTTCCGGCAAAGTTGCCAGATAGCGCTTAACGGCTGACGAAATTGCCCGGCCATCGTACGCTTCTTCACTTGATAGTAGCTGTTCACTGAGTACATCAATATTCTGAAACGGTAAACACATGCAATACTGTTTATTAGCGCACACCTATACACAGACGAATCTAATGTCATGATGAGCATGCATGAGATTAATGAGATGGCTTACGGAATTGGCCAGATTTTCAATTTCCTTAACCTTTGACGTGCGGCCTGGCACCCGGTACAGGCCCTCCGCATCTAAGCCACGTATACGGAGGGCCGTCACCATGTTGACCAGGACTTGTGGAACGCCCTAGTTGATACGAAAGAAACAACAACAACATTTACTGACATGATTAAGCCGGCTTTTGAATACAAAAGCACATTAATATTAACATTTTTGCACCTTCAGGACTTACTGGGTGCTTGGGCGCCTCCACCTGTTTCGATAGCATGCCACCGAAAACTGGCGAATTATCACAGACTGAAAAGACATGAAAAAAGTGATTGAGAAAGCCACTGAGAAAGCCAAATGTGCGTGGAACTGCTTAGGCAATCCCTATGGGGATGTGAATAGCATCGTGTCGTCGTTGTCCAGCTCGGTTTGAATGCAAACCAATGGTTAGAATTCCCATCCTACTTTATTACAAAGTCTGGGGGGATGTCAAACACTGAAACGCATGCACATATTGAAATCACGGCTCTGAGAAATATACATAATCATTCATTCCTAGGTGACTGCCTAGATGCATATCCTCTCCTGACTATTCGAGAGATGGAAATAGTTACTGAAATAGAAAGTATTCCATAGCCTAGGGCTAAACACAACACAAAATACGCAACAACTATATCTCTACCTCTTTTCCATCTGGTCTCATTTCTAGGTTATAACCGAAGATGTTTGAGCAATAAGACGCCAGCTACAATCTAGTCTAAGAGGAGCCATATTCTTTCAAATGTGCAACAATGTGCAGCGAAAATAGAATTAAGTACTTACCATGGGATGACGCTGTTTTCCCTTTTCTCCACCTTCTGGTCCTTTCGACGAAACGCCGGACCTTCCGCGTGGCGCGGCTGGGCTCTCTTAACACCGCAAATTTTGACGCAGACATCAGGCTGTGTTGTCAGTGATTACTGAAATGCCGGCAGTTTGGCCACTCTCAAACGCCTCAGCATCGATCCCGATGCAGTCTGCCGCAAAATCGATATGCAACTCTTTTGAATTGCCTGCTAGCGCTGCAGGCTGGTTTGCAGGCCGCCCAACAAGCCAACAAAGCATACCTGCTTTTAACTGGCAATGTCCAAGAATTTTGAAAAATTCAAATGTTTACATAGGCAGCATTCTGACATAGGCTTCAGATCGCAATCATTGTTAGTTAGCCAAGACTGCCCTACTACCTCAGTTGAAGTGCGATTACACATTTAAAGGTAGACAATGACCATATTTATTAAGAAGAGAAGGGCTTCTTTGAGAAAGTTGAAACCTTAATGCGTTGACTGGTTCCCCAGTCCAGGCAGGATCAACCATTTCACGTTGAATAAAGCGTATTAGATGAAGTTTATAAAATGACTACTTGCGATTTAATTGCCTTGGCTAGGAAGGAGTCAAGGGAAAATACTGTTCAAATTTTAGTTGACATACGTAACCGAATAAATACTCGTAA